TTCTTCAGCTGACTCTTGAACACCAACTCGCGACCTTCCTCCGTCAGTCTCAGATCTACCCTCTCGTTCGGTCTGAAGCGCAATTGCTCATGCAGCCTTCTCAGGTTGAATCTGTTCTCTGCCTTTCCTGATTCGGCATTGACTCTGCTCAAGAGGTCGCGAATCAATTTGAGCACCTTTGGAATGTCTTCCTTGTCCGAGTTACCGTCCTCGGTGTACTTGAGCACGTTCTCCAGCAGCAACGGGTAACGAGCCAAACGCGTCGTCGGCTTGGTGAGATAACCGTTGAGTTCCAGCTTTCGCGACTCTTTCCTTCGCTCGATCTCGTCCACGAATTTGGCAAAGTACGGGTTTGATGAACGCTCATTCTCAAACTCAAACTTGGCCTCCAGCTGCTTGGAACCATACCAAATAAAAGGCTCAAATTGAGGGACCCATTCGAGGAATATGTCACCGACGTTACCAACGACAGGATGCTTGTTTTGTCTCTCCGTCAACGACTTGGCGAATCGCGAGCTCACTTGGTGAAGGCTAGGATGGTCGACAATGTTGCTGAAAATAGCCTTCACGACCTTTTCTCTCTTGGCCGCAGGAATAGGAGAAGCCTTGGAGCGCAGAGGAAGAATCCAGAAGTCGCGGAGATACTCCAAATCCTTGACAAAGTCTCTTTCGGTGTAGCAAATTTCCGAAATAACCTCCTGTCTCTTCTTTTCCCTGTCACCAACGCTCTCGGCGATCTCCTTCGGCACAGAGTTGATCCAGAGCTTCTGTTCGTCTGTCTGATCGATGTCATCTTCGTTCGTGGCGGCCTCGGCTTCCTTCTTCAGGCCGGGCTGAATCTTCAGGTTCAATCGGGACACTTGCTCCAGTCTGCGGGGGCAGGCAATAGAGTAGCAAAGCTGGTCTCTCGTGCAGGTGGGGGAGTAACATTCAGAGAGGAGGACAAAGACACCGTTGACAGGGACCTTTTCTTCAGGCTCTTCCATCATGGTTTCTCGGAACTGGTACATTTCTGATGTAGAGTCGCGCAAGCGGTGTTCGTAAGTGACGTCGTGGAAGAACTTTTGGGCATCGAGCGCTCGTCCCAGTAACAAGGCCAGGTTTCTGTCGGTCGTCCTGATAATATATGACAAAACATCCACCGCCTCGGCACCGCTGAAGGCGTTCTTATACGTGAGCTCGTTCTTCGTTCTGTCGCCTGTGATGATCTTCTGTCGGAAACAGTCTGCTACTCTCGACAGCAGCGCAGGGTATACCAGAGGAGGTCGGATCTTGGCCGTCGGTGGCCGTTCACTGCCGTCGATAGACTTGCTCATGGAGGGCCTATGTGCCAGCGTTGCGGCGTCGGAATCCGAGGGAGTTATCGTGGGCGCGATGGTGGACGCCATTGACATGGTCCTCTGTGAATCTCCATTGGAGGAGGCCATGCTCACCGTCCTCGTCTGAGACCCCGGCGCTGGTGTGTAGCCTCCTCCAAAGCTGCCATTGGTCGCCGGCAGCTCCACCGGTGCTCTTCTGTTCGGAATGACTCGGCCGCTCATCGTCTGGTGCGAGTTTTGGTGTTGATGCAAGTCGCGATCTTGCGGAGGGTATCCAGTCATTGACATGGCTCGATCATCGTGGCGTTCGGGAACGACCCGTCCTTGCGCCGTAGTTCGGGCCGAACTCGGGTTGTACGGAGCATGACGAAAGGCATTGGCCGCAGCTTGATGATTCGGCTGCGAACCGTAGTTCCCGGGAGAAGGTTGGTACATGTTTGGCCTCGGGGTGGAGGCAAGAGATTGTGAGCGGTACGAATCATTATTCATCGCCGGTGCTGGTCCTCCTCCTTGATAAAACCTTTGTGCCTGAGACCTTGGCGCGCCATATTGCCCTTGCGGGGGCGGTCCTCGCATGTCGCCGCGTTGAGGAACAGGTGCCGGAGGACCAGGATACGGGCGACGAGCCTGCTGTTGCGGCATGTATTGTTGAGGGTTGGGCACTTGATAGCCGCCAGAGGCGGAGCGCTGTCCCGGGTAGCCGTTCTGCAACGAAGCCCCTCTCGGAGGGTTCGGGTCGTAACCGCCCTGAGGCTGTCTCGGCGGGGGTTGTCGCTGCATGCTCGACATGGAGGAAGAAGACATTGTCTGTGTCCTGCCCTGGTGCTGAGGCATCATCTGAGGAGGCATCGAAGAGGAGGTCATGGTCTGGGAGCGTCCCGGCGGGGGAGCGGCGCCGAAAATGTTTGAGAAGGCGGCATCGCGTTGGTAGTTGTTGGAGTGGTGACCTCGCGGGTCGCCGTGGTAGTCGGCCATGATGGAATGGATCGGTCGAGCTGGGGATTGCAGCGAGAGATCTTATCGGCCTATGGACGTGGTTGTTAGGCGGTTGATTATAAAGGGGAGAGATGGCGAGTTGTGCCAAGGTGGAGAAAAATGTGGTACAAGAATCGAAGGAGAGGTGTACTAACAACGCGAGGCCTCAACGGCCGCCGGCTATGGTGAGGAAGCACAGGATCGCCGCGAGCCGCTCACAGGGCGAAATTGGCAATTGCTCGATCGGTTGGGCCAACAAGGCTCGCAGGGACAGATTGACGGCTGTCGCGGCGACGTCGTGGTCGAAGGGAGGTATTTTTTTTTTGGTGGTGTTGCTTTTCGTTTCCCCTTCGTTCTATTCTCCGTCCCCTTTCCAGGATGGGCCGGGTGACGTTATGGGCCTATGACTTGACACAGGGCCCTGACCTGGGCGGGTTGGTTGCTGCAAAGGGCGGGAACACGGCAAAGGACGTCGATATTCTCGGCAGGCTGCAAAAGGAGCGTCGGGGGCGAGGCAGCAAGGCGCGGTGTGCAGCAACAATAGCGATGCTGGTTAAAATGGGTGCAGGCGGAGATGAAATGTTGGCGGTGGAAGTCAAAGGGGAGTGGTGGTTTGTGGTTGACGGCCGCCGGTGGTGGTGGTGGTGGCAGTGGCAGTGCGCAACGAATACTAATTACTAGGAAGGTATCCGTACTAGGGATTTGCTTAGGTGGTAAGGTGAGGTGAGTCTGGCAGCCAGAAGTGGAGGGCCGCTGGCATTGGCACTGACACCAGCTAAACTAACCTAGCACGTTAGATGGGCGATGGGATGTTGGCCGTACGTCGGGTCGGTGCCCGGTCACTACTACTGCTAATGCTGCTGCTGCTACTGCTGACTTGACTCTGCTCAGTCATCCAGACCGGCGGGCGGCATTGGGCTAGAATGGTCGGGGCAGAAAGCGTAGGCTGCGGCCAAGCGTAGAAAGCTGGGGATAGATTGGAAGAACAGGATGGACCTGGGTGGATTGAAGGTTGCTGTCGGTCTTTGCTGGCCTGCTGCTGGGAGCGAACCACCAGAGAAGAGACGAGACGAGACGAGACGGGAATCGGCCGTTTCTTTTGGTTGCGCGTGTCGGGTACAGTGCAGCAGCCTGCAGATTGCAAACTGCAGCCCTCCAACAAGTTCCAAGTTCCAACCCCCATCCATTCATTCACCTTGCCCACGTTGGCTTGCTCGCTCATTGTCTGCCCGTCTCCCTGGCTTGGTGCTAAGCATCTGACCTCCCCTATCTAAGTAGGGTAAGATGAGGTACATTAGCCTATCTAACTCTGATCTCGGAGCATTCATGTCTTAATCACCAACCAAAGAATAAGCGCAGGACGGTCAACAGACCAGCCATCAGTCAGTGCTCTGGCGAGTTGCTGCAATACTTGGACATGACAGAAAAAAACGACGGTGGATCTCAAAAGGTGCAAGTCTGGAGATCCACCACGGCGCTAGACCTTCACAGACGGGGCCTCGAGGTTGGTCCTTGACCTTTTTTCTTCCATTGTCCTGCAGCTCGAATACTCCACAGTCCCACGTCCCCTACCGCCATTGCATATGTATGCCGTAAAGTGTATCCGTAGGACTTTGACATTGGCCCAGCAGCAAATAGAGACTCCATGGTCCTGTGGGCGTCGAATGGCCCGGTCTGGCTCATCTTTGGTTCGCGGGGTGTATCTTAGCTTTAGCGAGCGCGCTGTATCCGTATCTCGACGTATGGTGTGGACAGGGCGAGCACATGGCAATATGCGTATCTAAGAATATCAAAGACCGCTTCAGACCAGGAGACAGGGACTAGCTGAGACTGTCCTACGTGAGGTGGGCGGGTGACTGCCGGAAGAAATGGAGCTGCTCATGCACGACTGCACCAAATGATTCGAGACTGTGACTTTGCGAATAGGTACTTGGACGTTGCCGCGCCTTGCCTTGCTGCCTTGCTGCTGCGAACACCGAACCTCGTCTTGAAATCGGAGCACCTCGAGTCGCATCGGAAAAGAAGCAAGCATCTGAACCTTTCACCGTTGCGGCCAACCAGGAAGACGCCTTCCCCATGCCCAGCGCACGCGTGCGACGAAAGATAGTTTGACTTCATCACGCAAGGCACGTCCCGCTCCCCTCCATTTGCCAGCCTCAAGCAAACTCAAATCGAGGACATGAGATACAGCCAAACCTCACACTTGCCTTGCATCTGGGCGCGCGATCCAAGGGGTATTTCGTGGAGGAAAGTTGGCAGGCGTCCAGGGATTCCAGTCCTCGACCGACTGATACATCTGCGATAAGCCAACATGCCGATAAGGAAAGTCGCAGCACGGACCGTTTCGAGGCAGTTGCGCCTACTGCGCCGCACATGTGCATACGTCTCCACTCTGGAACTTGATTCGACAGCCAGCCACCAACAGCCTGCCTGAGATGGCAAGTCGATAGATTTGATGTGGCTGAACTTTTGACAGTGGCTGGTGTCGGGCCGGTATTCTGCCGCGTCACGGGTTCTCAGCCGTCCACCGTGCAGTCCTGATTGGGCCTCGTCACCGTCACCAAGCTCCAAGGTCCTGGATCCAGGTAGCGCAGACACCCATCCATCGCGGGATCCTCGACACGCATACATCCCTCCCCCTCCGTCGGTCATCAACGTCAATCCCGCATATCGAGAGACCGCAAACACATTCACAGTCTGCCCAACATGGCCGAAGACTCCGCTCTCGCCCCGAAGTTCGCGCCATTCATCGGAATGGTAAGCTCCAACGCCCCCTCGAAGCAATGCTGGCCTCGCGAAGACCTGGCTAGCTAGCAATGACATTGAAGAAATACCGATTTGCTGACACACCTCGCAACTAGGCCGGCATCGCGGCTGCCATGATCTTCGGATGTATGTTCAACCAATAACCCCCGAGCTGATATCCCTTCCCGGCGCGACGAACGAGGACAACATGCTAAACAGTGGACATCAATAGGCATCGGCGCCGCATACGGTACCGCGAAGTCAGGTATCGGTATTGCTGGTGTGGGAACGTTCAGACCGGATCTCATCATGAAGGCACGTCGCACCAAAAGCTCGAGCAGAAGCTCCGTCTAACGTTGCGCGCAGTGTCTGATCCCCGTTGTCATGTCCGGTATCATTGCCGTCTACTCCCTAGTCATCTCCGTCCTCATCGCCCAGGACCTGTCGCCCCCTGGAACTGGAAGCGAATACAGCTTGTTCAAGTACGTCAGCCGCGCGCATTGCCTGTCGCCGCCATCTAGCTTGTCGTGGAACCTTCCATACTGACCTTAATTAGTGGTTTCATGCATCTGGCCTGCGGTGTCTCTGTCGGCTTCACCGGTCTCGCAGCTGGCTACACGATTGGTATTGTCGGCGACAAGGGCGTCCGCTCGTACATGGAGCAGTCTCGTGTATTCGTCGGCATGGTTCTGATTCTCATTTTCGGCGAAGTTTTGGGTCTCTACGGGTATGTTTACTTACCCCTGATCAACTCTCGTAAACAACCCCAAAGCTAACGGCGACACAGTCTCATTGTCGCTCTGATCCTGAACACCAAGTCCAAGGGCTAAACGCTGACTCCGATTCCACGAAAACGAAATGGCGAAACACGAACGACATTTTAGCCACGCCCTTCGACATCGTAACACCACTGTACATTAAGCGAGGGGAGCGCCGGGACGTTGGTTGAAGATGGAGAGTAACATCAAAAGACGGGTCGCAGGTGGTCGTCTCCGGTCCAAAGCTGCATATGGCACGGCGTTTATCAGGAAACCCCTCATGTAGAATTTATGTATGGCGAGCTGCGTAGAGAGGCTCATGGAGGGGATGGAAGGTATGATAAGGCTCCGAATTCCAGTATCTCTGAATTGTTTTGAACCTCTTTCTTTTGGCAATTACCAATTGCGTCATCTTTTTGTTGGCAGTGATGGTGGTAGTTGGTAGTGGTGATGATGCCAGTGGTGATATCACAGTCAAATTCACAAGTGTTGCGTCTAACACAGCCAAGGCAGGTAGACAATCCTAACATCTTCTGTTATGCCAGGCATGCCTTTGAACTCCAGACTCCCTACCTTACCTCTCACATACCATTGCAGTATGCATTAATGTCAGCCGTCAAAAGGTAAATAAAAGAACAAAAAAATCGAAAAAAAGCACCGACGACGGGACTTGCACCCGCAACCTTTGGCTTAGGAGGCCAATAAGCTACTATTGCTCCACGCCGGCGTTGGACCACTAGACCATCTGGTCTTGTCTTTGTTGTTGGAAGCAATCCACGGCAGCGTGCGTCAAGACGGACGGTGGTATGGATGGTGGTGTGGAAGCTGAGGGAAGGAAGGAAGGTGCCTTGTCTTGGGGGTGCTCCTTCCGTTTGTATGAGGCAGGGGTGGGGTGCAAACGGGCACAACAAACAGCAGTCCTGGACAGGATCTGGGAGCATGAACCCACGAATGCAAATACAGTATAAACAGGCTGGTGAGGCAGACCAAAGCAAGTTTAAGCATGGGAAATACACCATGCTGCCATGATGTTACATTTGATATCTTGCCTTGAAAGTCTTCGCCGCTCAGCAAACCTAGGATCAATATTCTTTCTTGAGGACCTGCCTGCCATATGCTGCTCTCATTGTGCAGAGAAGGTTTTTATTCAAAGACAGGACACAATCTTTTGCCTTTCACCACAACAATGTGCCTTCTGTGTTTCCTATCCCCTTTCATGGCCAGACTGAGACTGCTTCCAACCACAGATAATACTAGCTTTATACGATCGCGGTCGGTTTGTTCGCACTCGGTAGGCTCCTCTGTCTCCCGTCGTCTCTGGCTGTTGAGATTTAGTGAGTATCCCACTTCCAGTGCGCTAGAATCTACTCAAGTCTTTGAAAATCTCGATGGTCTTCTGTTGTTTCCTCTCATTCCTCTGCGCGGTGGTGGATACATGCCGGACAACAATGACAGAGGCCATCCTGTCAAAAGATTAGTGGCGGTCTACTTCCAGGAGCTGAGATGCTTTCTGACCCGAACCATGTACAAACCAATCCAGTGTGTGGCCTTCGCCCTCTCGGGTCATTGCTTCTGGGCTCGAGAGCCAATGCCGTTGATATTCCTGCCTATTTAAACACGCCATAAGAAGGGCATGATGAGGACCTACTTCTGGTGCAGAAGGTACCCAGACGGGCATGGACTGCAGGCATCTTCATTACTACAAACATCGTATATATATGCCTGGATACTTTTGACATCAACCTCGGACGACCGACGCCAATACATAGTTTTGCAGTACTGGTTTGGTGAAGTGACAACAGCTGGATGCCAATCGAACACGCATGCTCCTCTCATGACTTACGTGCCGCCTAGTGTGTACTTTTGATCTACTTCCCGCCATCCCTCCGCAGTGATTCCTACGAGGAATACCAGACCGACAACGATGATGTGAGACTCTGCCCTCGTCGATCGCAGCTCGAATCGCGATTACTTGAGGACGATGAGACGGGGCCGCAGACACTGGACCAGCCCATCGGCTTCCGCCAGCCCACACTATCACCATAATCATGGTTCAACATTTGGCTGTTAAAGTCCAAACTGAGCGTTGGAAAGCTGTCTTTTTATCAGTTATCCTCGCTGATAGGTCCTTGGAAGATCTTTAAAGTGGCCAGCTACGTTCAGCCTCATGTGCCTTTTCAATGACGATGAACGAGGGAAATGGTTTCTGTCCCATGCCAAGATCCCCACGTTTAGAGAACGTTTCCTTGAGGTATGCAGAGCTTCAACCAAAACCAAAATGGCTGCATAGAAAGCTTAGATTGACCTTGCCATCTCCGTCGCTATTCATCAGCCGTCACTCATACGTGAAGAATACACCCCCAATGGTCGAGTAAAGTTAACAGGTAAGGCTTCGTGAGATCTGGACTCACAGAACGTGATATCTGTTGTGATCTGCTCGCATGCTCAAAATTTTCAGGTTCCTCAACGGCCAAGCAACATCTATAATTTCACATCCATCCCTGATCTGTTGGTTAAATATGGCCACGGAAAGGCTACAGGCTTTGAGGGCCTACAGCGTGTGCATGTTTATCAAGTCAACATACACGCATGGCTTAAATCGACTGGAAGGTATCACTTGTCAAAAGTAACAGGCGCTTCATGTACAGTTCCTTCGATTGTGTATCATACATACCACCTAGACCACCGACGCCTAAGCAATGCGTCCCAAAACACATGTACAGTGTGTAAAAAGTGTCAACCCAATAGACCCCTCATAGTAATCAAATCTCTTTCTTTCTTTTCCACTCCGTTCTTCCTTATGCCGTCTTCTTCTCGGCGGCAACCTTCTTCTTCAAGGAGCCAGGGGGCGTCTTGAGCCCGGCAAACACCACCGCCGTCACGACAGCCATGCCCGCAGCGCCCATGCCGTAGGCGACCTCACGGCCAGCCCACCAGTACACGCTGGTGAACAGAATCGGTCCAAGACCACGGCCAAGCTGGCCCCAGCTGCGGAGTACACCCAGCTTGCCTCCGCGCTCGCCCTCGGCAGCCTCGAAACTGCTCAGGGTGTTGAGACCAGTGACGACCGTCGACGACGTCACCGCCAGGCAAGTGGCCGCCGCGTAAAGACCGCCCGTTGTCGAGATGCGGCCGAGGAGGATGAATGAGACGAGGCAGGCGACGGTGCCCATGCGAACGGAGAGCAGGGGCGGCAGGCGGCGGGTGACACCACCCTGGAGGATCGAGGCGACGAGGCCGACGTAGCCGAGGAGGCGGCCGTTCTTGGCGGATCCGAATGCGAAGAGCTCGTACGTCATGAAGGAGAGCGAGGACTCCATGCCAGAGAAGAAAAGCAGGAAAACGAAGTGGACGGCGTTGAGGAGGAAGTGGGAGTTGGTTCGCTGGATGGGCGCGGCAGGGGTCTTGGTCTTCTCATCCTTCTTGGCGCCCTTGCCGGTCAACGAGGGCAGGGTCTCGGGCAGGCAGAAGTAGAGGTACAGCGTCTCGGTGAGGATGAGGAATAAGCTGAATCCGGCGGCGGTCGCAAAGGGGTTCTCCTTGACGGTGCTGATGCTGCTCAGCCATGCGCCCAGACCCGGTCCGAAGGTAAAGGCGATGGAGAAGCATGCGCCGATGAGCGCCATGGTCGATCCGCGGCTCTGCTCATCGGAGATGTCCGTCGCCATGGCAGTCGCAAGCTGGACGTTGCCCTCAGACAGTCCACCGACAACGCGCGACGCGACAAAGGTGCGGAAATCGACGGCGACGACCCAGAGGAGGACGGAGAGGATGTTGCCGCACATGGAGGCCAGCAAAGCGGTACGGCGGCCATGGCGGTCGGAGAGGTGGCCGATGAGTGGGGAGGCGATGGCCTGCAGGAGACTGAAGAGGGAGCCAAGGGCGCCGCCGAGGAGGACGATGTCGTAGCGCGAGTCGATGGGGCGGGCGAAGGCGGCCTTGTAGCGGTTGAGGCCGGAGAGGACGCTCTGGAGAAGGGTCGCGGGCTCGGTGGCGTTTGCGGACGCGGGGCCGGCTTCGCGGTCGCGGTAGAACTCGAGGAGCTTCGGGAAGAGCGGGAGGATGAAGGTGAAGGAGATCTGGCGCGGGGTCGTGGTCAGTTTTCAGCAACGACAAAGAGGGCCGCAAGTTTCACTTACAAGGTCGAGGAGGAGAGAGACGGCAATGACTCTCAGAACGCGTTTGCGCGTCTTGGGCTCGAATGCCCCGGAGGAGGTAGCTGCTGCTACTGCTGCTGCCATTGTTGCGGGCCTGCCCTGACTGTCGAATTACGTGTGACGTAAGGTGTGGTGGATCGTGAAAAGGAGAACTCTGTGTCGGTTTGGGAGGAAGGAAGCTGGAAACACGTGTAAGAAACGAGGGGGAGAAAGGAGGGCAATAGAGGTCGAATTAACACACAAAGAGAAGGGCTATTGTAACATCAAGAAGAGAGGGAGAGGGAGCTTGGGATGGGGAAAACCGAAAACGAGGAAAGACATGGAAAAGTTGAAGAATTAAAAAAAAAGAAAAAAAAAAAAAAGAAGAGGACAACGGTCTTTCATGAATTGTGTGACAGGTGACACCTGCAAGCTGGGAATTGGGGGGGTGAACGTGGAACACTGAGGTCGGAGCTTGGGCGTCGAACTGCAGAAACATGCTCTCAGGGCCGCTGCAGTCCCCTTGTCCACGCCCCTCCATTGGAGCCCATTGGAGCCCTTTGGAGCCTCTGGAAGTGGTCGGCCCAGTCCGATGTTTCAGGGTCAGGGGCACTTGGGGATCCACAGTGAAGCCACTGAAGGCTCGCAAAGTGACGCTAACATCGGACGCGCCCCAGACCGAATCCCAGCGCGGCGTCATTCGCCAGTCCTGCTGTCTACCTACCTTAGGTAAAGTGCCCAAAGACGCGGGACCGGGCTTTCGGGCGCTGCGCCGAGGCCGGGCGGAGACCTTGCTACTGGACCTCCAGTGACACTCACTCCACTGTAGTGTCAGCTTTTTCGGCGATTTTCCATTGGGTGCTTCCATCCCGTGTCTTGCTTGCTTCTTCGGATGCAAAACGCAGCTCGAAAGGAGTGATTCTGTTTATAGTTTGT